ATCCATAAAATATCAGTTTACAGTTTAACTAATTATAAAAAATCGTCATATTACAATAAATATACTTACGAATCGCGAACAAATCATTCATTTAATTCGCCACAACACATATCTAGTAAGAATATAAATTGGCCATGTTAACAATTTAACAGCAACCTATAGAGAAAGATGTTATTATTGTTTCTTGTTTGTATGTATTAACAGTACTGTACTTAATCAATTCAATCAGATGTAAATTAATGCAATGGCTTCAATTTTACATGATTAAAATGAAGTCTTAGGAATTAGTTTTATCAGAATCAAAGACAACCAGTGATTCCAAAAGTGGTCTAGACCATTTTCTAGAAAATGGTCTAATGGACTATGGAAGACACAGCAGATTAGAGTAATGTAGTCGAGAGTTCATAAAATGAAACATAGCTACAGGGGGTTCATCAAACATAGTTCAATTTTATGTATATTTGCTGCTAATATTATATCTTTAAATTTTTCATACTAATCACATACATAGAATCATACTGTGTATATCCATTGTCAAAATAATTGTATAAACATACTGTTGCCTTATTCTCTATTAAAAAGTAGAGACTGCAAAAAATCTGATGTGTTTCGACAACATAATTTTAAAGATTAACCATTGGTTGCCGAGATCAAAATCCCCGTTTAAAACATATTGTTATCTCTGTTTTGTCAAAGATAAAGACAGGGATACATATATTTTATACAGAGATTTTGGTCTCACAAACCAAACGGATAGTTAAGTTTAGTAAACTAACTATAACATGCTTTATGTTATACTGGCTGGCATATCAAACACAGTCCGCATGGAATTAAAAAAATCAATTCCAGATAATAACCACCTGTGCATTCTTCTAGATTTTTCTACAATATCAAATTCCACTCCAATCCATGCAGCCCTTCTAACAAACATCCATACATCCAAATGTTGCATATATAATATTAGTTAAAAATAAGAATGTAAAATATTTTAACCGAGATATAAAGAAAGTTTAAAAAAGACATAATAACATTTAATCTAATAGAGCCGAGTGATTACATTATGTGTTGAACTTCAAAAGGCTTCACTGACTACAATTATAAAAACATATTGTCAATTTAAATGTTTACATTGCTGAAACATTGTATATAAACATATTGTCATCCCCTTCATTCTCCTTAGAAATAACTGAGAAAATAATAAATTTTCTATTTGAAAAACTGATTTTAAAGTAAAGTTGTGTTTAAAACACATTCTTTCTAATCTAAACAAACAATTATTACATGTAGACTAGCGGACCCGACAGGCGTTGTCCTGTCTACACGTCTTTAATTTGAATAAATTAATATGAAGTTAATATTTGATGAAAATTGTAAATCTAAACCATTCCCAGATCCCCTTGAACACACACAAAAAATTTCATCAAAATCGGTCCAGTCGTTTGAGAGAAGTTCAGTGACATACACACTCACAGAAGAATTATATATATAAAGATTAAAGTTGTGCAGTCGAACCTGGATAAGAGAGTCCAAGGGACCACATTACTTTTCTCGCTTATAGAAGTTTCTCTCTAACCAGAGTTTCTCACTGACAGGTTGCCTGTCATGACTGGACAAAGACTCTCGCTTACCCAGGTTCGACTGTATATAAAAATATCAAATATAACTTATTACTTAATATTCATGAATGATTGTTATTACATTACTTTACGATGCCCGAACTTAACTTTGAAATTGTCATATAGATTGTGTACACATATTGAAGAATAAATTTTTCTTACAGCATATTTTACTCTTTGTTTTAATTTGCATCACCATTTTTGTCCATTGAGCAACATTACGAAATTACATTTGCAATTTATACTGTAGTTATGTACAGGTATTGATGTATATATTATACTTATATGCTTTTTATCTTGAAAGAGGACACCGACTTAATTGTGTGCAACAGTTAGTTAAAAAGTACCTTCTTTACTCTGTGATGCACATTGCTATCCCTTACATACTCTTTGTAAAAACAGAGCAGCAACATAAGTGTTACCACACTCAAAACAAACAGTTTAAAACATCTACAACTACCACAGTCTTTAATGCTTACTCAAGCAGATATTTGGTGTATCATATTAAATCTATACTCTGAGTGCTGGACTACCCTTAAGGGAAACCTTTATGTGTAGAATTCAGTACTCTTTTTTCTTTACATTGAATAAACACTAGACCACAATCCCACCTGATGTTAAGTGATGATGTGGTCGAAAGATGGTATGCGCTAGCTTAGTATATGCCTATTCACACTACTCTACAAGGCTTCCACATGATACTTGAAGGGAAAAAATGACATCGGCAACTTGTTCCAATGTATTGCAGAATACACAAGGAACAATGTTTCAAATAAATGTATGGTATTTATAACAAATAGATAGATTTATATTGTTATGATGATATAAAACTTACCTTTAGCCTTCGAACCAGTTCATCAGGGCCTAGGTCATCGGTGATGGGGCGGCAGCCTTGCGGGTACACTATTTCCGCCATGCTGCCAATCTGTATGTTAAAAATGTGTTAATTTTAGTATATTTACTACTTAAAGTTAATAACAATAATCCAAAGCTTGACCTGAAGTCGGTTTTCTTTTATTTATCAGCTACATCTGTGTCATGTGCTATGTAAAAAGGTAGACAGATTGTATAGTACTACATAAGGTATTAGTTATTTTATATACCAAAGCTTTATGTTTCTACTATAACATAAAAAGAATAATATGTTTCATCTTAACTATAGTTATAAGTACATAAACAATAGAATTTATATTGACCCATACAAGGGTTACATCTCAAAGATGTAACTCCTTTCATTGGACAGGTATATGACAGGGACAGTATCAATTCCATTTATTTAAAGTGAGCAAAGCATTTTTTATTTATTTGTTTTTTTTTAGTTCATTAATTATTAAAAAATATGTTAATAATAATGTTAAGTGTAATGATTAGTAATAAAATTATCAGTCCTGATGTAAACAAGCAAGTAATTCTGAAAAGACAAATTTGTTAAATTTCACAAATATGTTAATTTTTAACAAAAAAGGCAAATTTTCATCATAAACATAATAATTAAGATGGGATAAGACAATTTACAAAATAGTCAAATTGCAAAAAATCTGCCAAGTAATAGACAATTCAGAATTTTTCTTTGACCTAAATATCATAATGAATATTTTTGTCTAACTTCACCAAACAAGCAGAACAGTTTTTCAAAAAACACTAGTATTAATTTATGGGATCTTGAAAATATACTACAATTGTATTGTTTTCATTTCAAACCATTCATCATTTAACAATAAGACATTCCAAGAAGAAAACTTTCATACTGGCAGCATATTAAAAATGTACTAAAATGGCAATAAAAATGGGTCAAATATCAACAATGATGCCAATTATATTTCACATTTGTAGCACAAAAAGGATGATTTATGCGAAAAAAAACTCACGTTTCTATATATTCTGTATACAATAACTTATGAAAAAACGCAACGCCACAACATCCTGTAAAGATGTTACCAACGTCGTCACCTGGCACAGTACCTTATGCTAACACAAATCATCACATATAATCAAACTATAGCCATATTATACATCGCTTTAACGAAAAGAATAAGCCAAAAGATATATCTCCCCTACACATCACATTGTTTTGATAATCAAATATGTGATTGTGATTCTTTCCACCATCATTCAACCACAATCCGTAACTGTCGTATAAATTCACCATCACACAAACATACCTTATGTTTTAATATTCCCGAGTCTATATTCTCTAAAATGTTATCAAAATACACAGTAACAATACACCAATGACACAATTAAGAAGATGATACCGATAATAGCCAAAATACGTACAAGAACTCATAGACGTGGGCCTGTGTTCCCGATGTTTACAAAATTACAACAACCGCTGTACAACAACTTTACAATCACATCAACGACATGTCCAACTCATAAATGTTTCACAGAGAAACAAATCATAAGGATAAATTACTGTTTTAATCTAAATACATAGAAAACGATGTTAAAATTTTTTATCAATCGGTGGACGCCAAACTGCGGGAAAAACTACAGCGAAGTTAGCCGATTTTGACGTTGAAAATCAAGGTTAGTCATTAGTCTATGGTTATCGTTCAGAAATCATAAATTGTTTGACTTTGTTATTTTCAAATTCTTTTAAAGCTTTTCTTTTAAAAATTGCAAATGTATTTTAACGTTAAATAGAATTTTCGTCCGTTTTTCGTAAATAATTAAGGGAAATTAACAACAATGCTACTAGGTGAGTTAACAAGGTATAGATAAAATGGGGTGACCATTCTATTCTTTCTGTGTCTTACCTTTTTTCTCATCGGGAAAACCATGTTTGAAACAGTATCAGCAGAAAGTGCTTCATCATGGTCGTTATCCAAGCATATCCAGACAAGGATAAAGAGAAAGTCCGGCGATAGAAAATGAGATAACGAAAAAATATGATAAAATAGCCAGAGTATTAACACAGTACTATAACGATCTTGTAACTATTTGAACATTGACTGGGGATGCTAGTGGGCTGTCATATTAAGTTTAACTTATTACCAGGTCAGATAGCTTTCTCGGTCTATACTTGACCTCTCCCTTCTTGATTAAATTAATTTGAATTGAATGAAATAAATTTTAGTGCTCTGTCACCATTAGACGGTAGACCTTGACCAAATCATCTTTTTGATACTTACACACGTGGACGTGTTATATTCGATCAAACTGCGACTATTCCAACAGCTTATTCCAAATAATGGAGGACCTGATTAAGTTACATAAGGAAGTATTTTGAAATAAACCCCCACAATCAAGTCAATTTACTATTATTACTATGCAAGGCTTTCGATAACTTTCTTACTTCAGGATCACAAAATTAAACATAAGAAAAAATGCAGCATACATTGATGGGGGATAACATTGCGTGTTGTAATGAAAACTAGAAAACCTAATTATAAAACATTTATTATTTAAAACAGAAGTCAGCGCTTTTCCCATAAGTAGTAAAGATCTTATAAAATAAAAGAATTAATATTATAGACACAAATGAAGCAGCAGTCAGGTTGTCAAGTCGGCAAATTGATAAATGCCTAACATTATTCTAAGTAAAATTATTATTATAACCACTGTCAGTGGACAATGAAGATTTTAACCAGATTTAATGGTAACGTGACTCCACCGACGGCTGCCTTTAGCTAACTAGTTACTAAAAAAAAACCACGGATATTTTTCTTAAAATGAAAATATTTAACCATAACCTTCCTGCATTTGAACGATGTTATGCAAATGATCTTTAATGCCATACTGTCAAGAGCTTAACATAATCTTTCAAATTGCTTTTTATGTGGGTAAAAATACTTCTTGGTTATAAAATACATTATGCCAGTAAACCAGACGTATTGGCTAACCTACTAATTGCTGTAGCTGGTCGTAGCCATGTTTTGACAGATGTCATTTATTTTATACGTTGGCAACATTTGAAACGCATTGTCAAGAGAAAATGATTGATGATAATAAAACTTGAGATCTCTAAGTAAAATTAAGGAATGTTTCGTGCAATATAAATCATCTTTATACAAATTAAGGAAATTTTCCATTTTGACTTTTGAAATTTACTTCTTTTTTTGTGAGAAAATTAAATCTATTTTATTAATTTTTTAGGCTTATAACTAACCAGTAATTCTAAAATATTATATAGTTTTACTAATGTATCAAAATCTCTGTTTTGTTTTTTTTTTATTATAATTAAAGAGAATTACTTAGTATATATAAAAAATCACATCTGTTCTGTTATGTGTGTGTATTACATAACACACATACAAAAAAAAATCAATCGAGTTCCAATTTCCGGAACGATCCGGCGGTCGAATGTATATCTTGGGTTAGATCATTTTTCTCCAAAGCGTACAAATCGACGCACATTTCGTCCAAAGCAAGCAATTCCTCTCTACGCTTAAGCAGGTTCCTCTTGAGTTCTTCTACCATGTCCCTCAGAGGCACAGTACCCCCGTATTCTTTGGGCAAGATTGATGGATCCACGTGTTTTGTTAAATCTTCCGATGTACGATGGAACTGGAAAATATTTAAAAAAATAACTTCATAAATACATATGAAAGAAAACATTATAATATCTTAAGTGATCCATGTTGTATGTAGCCATTTTGTTACAATTATAAAAGACTAGCTGTCGCCCACGACTCCGTCCACGCGGAATTAAAAAAACTTAATTAGTAGCCTATGTGTCTTCCAAATTACTAGTTCTACATCTATGCCAAATTTCAACGAGATGCATGTAGCCGTTCTTAAGATACCTTCTAACAAACATCCATCTATCCATCCTTCCAAACATTCGCATTTATAATATTAGTAAGATTTTCATATTCCATCATAATTATAAACGATATATTAATTTAATGGAAATATGAGTGGAAAAAACACGCTGTATGTATATTTCGATTAGGTAATACGGCTCTTTTGTTGGGTATATCTATGTCTATATATAGCCTGATATAATATTAAGATTAATAGAATATATTACCATAACACGATCCTTCAATTTGTCACTCAGCAAGGATACAGCGAATTCGAAAAATCTTACTCCATAATGTGGGATGTTCACAAAATGTGTGCATTTGTGGCGCATTGGAGTAGAATTCTGTAATTAAATGCATTTATAATTAACTCAATATTAATATCGTTATTGTACAATTTTATAAAATATAAAATTTAATCTCAAAATATACAAGTTCACCAAATATACACTTAGAGCGAAAAATATACAAGTAAAGCAAAAAAAATACATTTAGAGTCATACTTGTATACAATTGAGCATGATGCGGACATCTGTGAGTGACCAGAGGCTGACGTGCGGCATCTGCATGCCGGCCTCGTCGTTGACGTGCATGTATCCGAGCAGCTGCGAACGCGGCTCGTCGAGGAGAAGTTCCACGATCATTGAATGAACGCGCGCCATCACGCAGCTATCGTACAAATGCGGGTCGAAACGACCTGTATAGAAATACATCAGTCTAAAAGATTATATTCTTCTAGGAAATTTAAAACAGCTAGACCAAAAAAAAATCAAACGCCATTCAGAAATCATTCGTTAAACATTTTAATTTCTTTATTATATGTCTTTAACTTACCCATACATGACAGTACGACTCTTCTTCCTTCAGCGTCTCTTTTAGGTAGAGGCACCAAGTACCCTGCGTCAATAACTGCTGCAACCTTAGGGTCCAAGGGGTCGAGCTTTTGGAACCAATTGGGATACATTTGACGAATCGTTAAATACCGCTCCAGCATAGAACAAGCTTGCGGTATCGAATATTTCTTTGTGCGTAAGAATCGTAGAAGGAAAGGTGCATCTGAAATGTATAAGATATTCTTATAAAAGTATTCAGCATTTTGTAACTAAGGCTTTTTAGTCTAGGTCTCATATACATTCGAACGATATTTTTTCTAATGAAATTAATTTGTCTAGCAAACTCAAAGTTAAAATTGTCATCTTCTTATCCTCTTCCCTGTGGAGAGTCTGCACTTTTCTACTTTTCCCTATAAGTAATGAATGATTTTTAACTAACCAGTTCGGCATTTCCTGATAGCTGGATGTTTTTCAATGAAGTGTCTCATCTGCGCCAACGCCTGCTCTCGAAGCGCCGGTTCCTCCCGCAGCTCGATCCTGGCTTTCTCTCTTAGCTCTGGTGGAAGTTCCCCAGTTTCCCTCTCTTTGCCTTCCAGGATATATGTGCGTTCATCTTCAGTCAGCCGTGGGGAATCAATGTCGGGTTTGGGTTCATGCTCACGACGGCAATCTTCTGGCTGTAGGACGGATGTTGCCATTGTTGTTTCTGTAAATTATTTTGTGATTAGTTGTCTTAATAAAATGAAAATAAATAAAGTTTGCGAGGAACTGTCTAATGTTGAATGTAGAAGTGACCGTCTGGGGAAGACGAGGTGTAATGTGGTGACTAAAGAAAGCTTTGTAAGAACCGCGCCAAATCAGCAATTTTGTTTAGTTTTTTTTGTTCATCGTTATGTCCTTCTGTATAAAGTTACTGGATGGTTACATTTTCTATACTTCACGTCTACAATATAAGGAAAATGTTCAATACAATATCGTACAAAAGAATTACGGAGCAAACAACCGTGTTGAATACGCTCCAACCTGTTGGTGACAATAAAATTATGACGGAACTGCCAAACATTATGTAACACACATAAGAAACATCAAGATCCAAGTAGCCTGGAGATTACTAAACTGAAGAGGCTTTGAACACAGTGATGTTGGATTATAAACATAAACAATGGTATAAGACGATTCTAGAAGAACTATCTAGAGTAACACATTGTCCCAACGTAGACCATAGATATTTTATTTTTAAAAAGGAGGTCACAAATAGAATGAGAGTGGCACAGGGTGGGGCATTGTGGAGATAAAAAGGAGGACCACTTTCCACAAGGGATGACGTTAAGCAAACGATGTCTAGAATTTATATGAAAGAATAATAGAATGACTCTGTGTAGCTAAAGTCCAAATATTTACCAATAGTGTGGTTTCAATGTTTTAATGACGGAGTTTTGTGACGACTCATTGGGTAGAGTTTCATAATTATCATCGTTGAAGATACGACTAGTTGGCCATTTTTTTTTAATTCATATTTTGTTCGATAAACCTAGACACAGAAAACTACTGGAATGGTTGCTACATTCGACTATTCGGTTTACGTAAGCGATTTAAATCGATGCTGCAGTGTTGCATAAACAAACATCGGTTCAACGGTTACGTTACAAGGCTGTTGCTAAATTTTGATATTTTACGACTTTTATTATGCAACGATTTTTTTGGTGACAAAATTCGAGCGTGTGAATATTAAATTCCAATTTCGAAAAAAATATTTTTGACTAGTTGTCGGCCGTGACTTCGTCCGCGCAGAATAAACGAAAAACTTAATTAGCATGTAATGTAGTATGTTCTACATCAATGCCAAGTTCTAGAGATACCGTCAAACAAACATCCATCCATCTAAACATTCGCATTTATAATATTAGATATCTCCGTTACTCTTTCAAACCTAGACAATTAATTCTTTTTGGCAGTAGAAACTCAAAACAATATTATAACTTGATGTCTATGTAAAGAGGAGACATACTTATCGTGCCTTAATCTCATTTCTAAACGTATCTAAGTATAATTTCACTTTTCGTACACGTTTGCAACAATGTACCACTTGACCTTCAAACTTGTCCGTGCGCCAAAACTTTCACCGTGCCTTTCACGTCACAGTAAAAGTGATTGATGACTTTGACAATGGAATATCTTGTAACAATACACTATTCTGCTGTATAAAACGTAATTAGATTGTATTGGAGCATTCAAAACTATCCCTAGGAACTTACGATGTTTACCAAGGGTTTTCTCAGAGTAAAATCTCCATTTAAAACAAATTATTACCTCTGTTTTGTCAAAGATAATGACGGGGATGACGATACGTTTTATACAGAAGTTTTGATCTCAGACCACGGTTAGATACTGAATCCATATGAGTTTTCAAGGACATGATCCTCGTTGAAAATAGGTAATAAAAATCCTGCATAATACATCTAATAGTTCTTTCGTTCGGACATTAACTGTCTTTTTTAATAATTCGTCACAAGATGTTTTATACGTCATTGGAACGACACATTATTCCGTGAATAGTCATATGAATTGCTCAATCCTTAAAAAAATATTTGACGTAAATCATATTCGATATGGTAGCTAAAATAACTGGCATGACGAATTTTAATACTTCATTAACAAACGAAACAACGAAATTATATCATTAACAAAATAAAAACAAAACAATTGAATTCAGACAGTAAATCAAAAACAAAAACGTTATTGTACTGTCAATCTGACAGTTCACTGAATAGGGTTAAGAAGTCGTTAATTTTTGAATACACCCACCAACTGTCTAACCATGCCAATTTTAAGAGACAGGACTTGTCAAGTGTGTGCATTCCCATCTCACAATTAAAATAAGTTCTAAGCTTTCGTGAGTACCTGTTGTATGTGTATATTTGAGTAAGATGCGATCCTAAAAACGGTTCAATTTTACGCAATATGTCAGCATGATATACAAATGAATGTTTAATTGGATCTTAACCTCATCCCTGTGAAAAACAACAAACGAGAGTACAACGGTGTCTCTTTGCTTAGTCCGTTTTTTTATATTCAACAATCAATAGGCCATAGGACGCGGCGACAAAGCCCTACTTATTATTCAAACATTTCAATGGCGTCCATTATCGTTATCAATAAATCCATTTACAGTCAGTAAGCGTGTTAGTGCTGTGAACAAACATTAAGGAAAGCTTTTCGATAACATACAGATTAAAACCAACCTTAACATCAAAGCAATAGACCGTAATTTCGTATAATTTTAAATTTATAAAAGGTCTACTTTGTTGGCTGTTGTATGAAAATGTATTGAATAAGAAATGATAATTTGAACCTTATTGTAATACAATAGAGTTTAAAATGATATAATTTGTTTGTTTTAGTTATTACAGTAACTTTTACTTATGAATACAATAAAATTAAAGGGCCAATGTAGTTTATGCTTCTATTAACGGTACAAATTGTTTGACCAAAGATTAATATAAAGGAGCTAAAGGTACCTGTATTGCCTAGTCTAGACTATCATTATTCTATTGTATTCTAGGGCTCTAGGGCATTTAGTGACTGGATCCATTTCCTTATGGAGTACGGAGTAACTTAGTATAAGCTAAATACGTACTGGCAGACTAGTTACTTCAATTGTTTAAATTATATCGTATTGAAAATAAAATTAAAAACAAAAAATCTTTTTAATACGTTCTTATTACTCGAAATAATTAATAATTTGAAAAAAATAAAACAAAATACTCGTCAAGACAATTCAAACTAGTCCAAACCTAATGAGGTAGTGTCGTTTAATTGCGAATTTCCTATGGCCACCTATTAGCTAAATCATCAGCATGTTATTATAATATGACATTGCCACGTGATTTACACATGTATGAAAAATTTCAGTTCATCAACCCGAAAGTGGATCATTAATTTGCAAGATTCGATGACAAACATCCAGACAGATGAGGTGAAACTAAATATAGGTAAAAGCTTGTTAAATTGTTATAGGTCGTTAATATATTTTTTAACATAAGATTATAATAATTGTACTTAAGTGTTTACAAAATAAAAATTTGGTTCATGATACGAACAATTTTAGTTTCACGAAGATTGTTAAAAAAAAATAAGTAGCTATTATGAATAGTTTTGAACCTCTTAAACTATTATATAGCATTCATAATTTTAATCTTAAACAGTGTGAAAGGAAGGTTATCGTAAGATCAGAAATTGCTATGTCCTTATTACCTTACCTTGAAACATTTTTACAGTTGGAAAAGTGGCGAAAATTACATGCGCACTGCAACCTAAAGGCATTTGCAATAATATAATATTGTTAGGTGTTGTACCTCTAGTAGACAGAGGCAATGCAAAACAGAGACTTTTTTATTCATCCTCTCTACCTTAAAATTATAGGGGTGAGGAAATAACATTAAAGGCCAGTAATAAATTGCTTACTTCGTAGATGTAGCAATTATAAATATTTTCTACAACTACCTCTACTTACATCCATCTGCCGTTGATCACATGGTCACAAAATTCGGGATGCACTTAAGGCACGTCCACAATGAACGATGGCCAGGTTGGACTGGTCGCGCGGTCATCGCTCCCGCACCGGTACCTTCCCGAAATATTGCGACATGGCCACAGATCCACTGGATAAGACCCATTTGTACACACGTACTTATTATATAGAGTAATGCCCTTTATATGATCATACGTTAATTATTAATAATACCTAAGGAATAACAAACTATGGACAATAAGCTGGACTTTAGATATGTCCTGTATCAAAAATTGGACTTGGACTTAAGAAAAAAATTTAGTGCAATAAAGTAACAAACTTATTATTATATTATCAAGGCAAGTTACTTTATCTTTAAGATAAGTACTAAAGTAAATTTTAAAGTAGCTTACATTATGTGTTTTTATCGCTTTGTACATAAACAAACCCGCGTGGAAGCTCGGGAGAGTTCGACGAACCTTGGACGTTAGTCCGAAACCCTGATATCTGGAGGTTCCCGAAGGTTGCTTTATAGTTGCCTAGGGTTCCATAATAATAAAAACCATATTAAAAATAGTTACGTAAAAGAGTTGAACCAATCAGTATGGATCAAACTGTCCCCTGAGACTCCGCCTGCATCTGCAAAACTTTGAGTAGCATATGTTCTTCCAGATTATGCTTTTTATTTACGACAAATTTCAATGAAATCCTTTTAGGTATTCTGGAGATACTTAATAACAAACATCCACCATCCACTTTTGCATTTATATGATACTAGGTGTCGCCCGCGACTCCGTCCGTGCGGGATTAAAAATAGATGTTGGCCGATTATCAGACCTACTCAATATGCTCACAAAATTTCATGACAATCGATCAAGCCGTTTCGGAGGAGTATGGGAACTAAAATTGTGACACGAGAATTTCATATATGATATTTCTTTATACAGAACCCGATTTAAAATTTAACAAAATAAAGAACATAAAGTTAATCTGATATTTCAGTAAGCATCAGCAGTCCGTCCCTTTCGTCGAACACGTGACGCGTTGACTTGCATTTTAATGTTTGAAATCAACAGAAATAAAATATTTTAAATTTTATCATGGATAAATCATCCCATATGATAAATGGTAGTAAAAAAAAATAAAGTTAGTAAGGGATTTACCTTATAAAAGGCGAAATTATTGCTATTTACTTA